TCAGCAGATTCACAGAAGATGTTTCTGGACCAAAAAACACATCTGACCAATTACAGAGCAAGTGAAAATCACTGCGTGCAAGTGGTAGAGGGGGCAAAAAGGGAAGACTTTAGCCGGTGTGATAGAGAGCAGCCTCCTGTGTTAGCACCTTAGCTACTCGTAGGTGTCAGGGTAAAAAGACATGGCAGTGAAGAATTTGTGTGGAAGAATTTAGAGGAATCAGAACGTGATGAAAGAAGATACTGAACTTCAAAGTTGAGATGCTCAGTTCCACTGGTGATGGATCGGAAGCCTCGTGACGCTGGTGCGTATGAAATGCAACAACATTTCAGCCTTTTGTGAAGACAATGGGTGTAAATTGAAACCAGAGAGGTTGCAATCAAATATGAGGAAAACTGTTCCCCTGTAAGGGCAATCAAAGCATTGGAAGTGCTTTGAGCAGGAGTTTGGGCTAGAGGCCTCCTGAGGTCCCTCCCAGCATGAATTATCCTACAATTCAGTTCAGCTTCCTCAAGGTGAAAAGTCGTTATTTTGTCACCTCAATTATGTTAGAAAGGGTTATCCAAAAGATGAGGAGTAACACATTCAAAATGGTCCGTTAGCTTAGCTGTTTCTAAAATATAACTGAATTTTATGTGCGTAGAAGAGCCTGTGTGACAGAAAAGGGTAAAACACTTCCCTAAGGCACAGGTCTGTGGTGTATTTGCTATTTCATCTTATAAATAAAGTAAATACCCTGTGATTAAGGACAGTGAAAAATCTGTGTGGAAGTTGAGGGAATACAATTGTTGGCTTTTTACTTGTAGAGAGTTATATCCTACAACCTTAAGATACTGGTTTTGCTGTGAAGAAAGTAAAGTTCCTGCTTTAAAATACCCACGCTTTATAGTTTTCATATACATTAGTAGGAAAAGTGAAAAAACTGCATAGACTTCATTTTACATTTTCAGCATCGTTGTGCTACAGTCGGAGCTAAGTGAAAAATTTGGAGCAAGATTGCTTTTGCTCACTGTCAAAATATTTTGTAGGAACGTATGATGAAGCACTGGTAATGGAGAAATCCGTTTGGTTTCCTGCCAGTTCAAATAGCAAACTGCAAGGAAACTCAGAAATCCCAGGTGTCTGCAGATGGGGCAGTGATGTCCATAGACCAGACATCAGGGAATTTAGTTAGCTATCAAACAGAGTATTTATAATACTGTTATATTTGTAGTATTGTATCAGTGTATTAAAATCAAGCGTTGCATCTGATTACTGAAAACTCAGTATTAATAGTGCTTTGGATAAAGCCAGCACTCCCCCAAGGGAAACACCACTGACTTAAGGGAAATTTGACCTGCGTAAGTCTTGAGTAAGAAACTGATCCCATATGTACTCGGGAATGCCCTTAGCTGACTGTTTCCTTTTGTCAGTTCTGAAATACGGAGGAATTCCTGGGAATTCAGTAAGAGAAGCTGGTGCCAGAGAATGAGTCACATCTTAAGACATGTTTCTTAGTGTACCTGGCTTTTCCTGGGTTGCCTCTCGTGTGCTTTTCGTCAGATTTGCTGATAAAGCCGCTGCTCTGTGGAGTGGCACATTTGTCCTTTTTCAGTTTTAGACAATCAAATTGAGGCTTGTTAAGTACAGTAACTCTGGTCAGCAAATAATTGCATGAACAGGTATGCTCTGCACTGCTTCACAGAAGGAAAAAACTTAATTTTCCATACCTTACCAGTCTCAACTTGAAATACAAGTTGAAGTTCACTTTAACGCTTTCTCAATATAGGCTATAACAGGATATTAAAGCCGCGTCAGAAAAAATTAACCTCAAATTAGATTTTGTTAAAGAAATCTTAAAGTTATTTTGAATAAGTAATTCTATGCACATCACAACCAACTATTATAATGCGTGAGAAGTGTCATACACTGTATGAACAAAAGTGATTAGATACTAACTAGAAACAAAAAGGTGATGAAGCAGACCTTAGGAAACCAGGAAGAAGGAAAGGTGAACAGTATAGTTAGACTAGATTACGTGTGCATTGACATAGATATATTTTAAAATTAATTTTAAAACATGAGTTATGTGTAGAGTTGGTAAGAATAATTCCTCTGACTGTAGTAGTTATATCTGTGTAGCACTAGTGCAAATTAAGAACGAGTCTCTATATTTAAAAGTAATTCTGTGTGGACAAGACTATAACACATATGGGAGGGGGGGCGGGGAGGGTGTCTGTCATTTTCCATATAGTGACGTATGCTCGATTTGCAAGAAACTGTATTTTTTACTTAGGAAATCCAGACGTTGTTCAGCCAGTCAAGCTGTATTTAAGTCACCGCTAATTGTCCTGGAGGGTAAGTCACGACCTAATGACACTTATGAAACGTTCTCTTGCCTTGCGCTGATTTACCTAAGCAGAACTGATTAGAAATTAGTAAGTGATCCTCTTGCTGATGTAGGCTGAAAAAATCAATAGCAGTTCACACTTCCTTTGCTGTTGACTGTGCAGTGCAAAAGGGAAAAAAAAAGCAGTAACAGTTTATTTTCCCCAATGAAATCATCTGATATACTCACCGCTACAAAAGCGGCCCGCCTTAGAGCTCTACATGCGTCTGAGAATCTGGTTTTCATGCTGAGCAAATAGAATGTTTATGTTTCTGTGACTCATAGATTAACAATAATTATAAGCTGCAGCCATGTTTACACTTCTTACGTGGGAAGGGGTAAACATCCTTTATATGCATTACTGTATTGGATGTTGTGATAATTTATGTTCTACGTGTTTTACACTTGGAATGGCAAACTCACTGGGAGGTTAGCTCAAGGGCATTCAGGATTCCTGAAATTGGGTGAATTCCTTGCTATGACAAACGTATGCAGCCGTCTCTCTGCATTGAGGTTCTGATTTAGATCACAACATTCCTCTATCTTGTTTTCCGTTTATACACATAAAAATATTTAGTGTAGTTAGGAGAAATAGAATGGTTTGTATTTATTTCTAATGTAAGCTTTTTCCCCGCATGTTTTTTTGCACGGTTTGAACTTTGGAGGATGTCAAAACCAGAAGTGTTTTGATGCTTAGGGCAGAGTCCCAGGACCTGTGTAACAGTAACCAGAATGAAGAGCCATGACATTGGTCAGATCTGAAACAATCCTCTTGCTTTTCCCTAAGAAGTGTTTCTTTCACATTTATTTGGACTAAGATGGTTCAGTCTCACCTTTATGGGTATAGGTAGATAAGCAGAATATGTACTTGTAGCTCTCTCACAAGCCTTTTGATCAGTTCAGGTCTATATCTAGGCAATAGGCTTCTATTATGCCTTGTTACTCTTTAATGCTTTAGATCTTTGCTGCAATTCACCTTTCTGTGCAGGCTTACTGGTCCTGTATTGGCTATTTCCCCGCCTGCCCCCAGGTGTTTAGCTATTGCAGGCCCTGCTTTAGTTTCTTTTGGATATTTTTACTTTTTGCAGTTTCTCTTTTGTTTGCCTGTGGCGCAATAGTACAAGTTCACTGGGTCTGTCCTTGCAAACGGGAATTTATTTCTGTTGCTGACGC